TGACCTCCCAGCTGGTCTCTTACTCAATGCAAGTAAAATCATAGCATCATCAATTCAATTCGCATGAAACATTAATGATAATAGTATCATTCCAATATTTGCACAGCAACAACACTGCACTGTGCATCTAAACTAAAACAAAAAATACCAAAAATAACTTGTTCAATATAAAAATACTTCACAAGAGCAATATAAAAGTCTAGAAAAATTTCTAATAATTATAATTTTCTCTGGATTATAATACCTACCTTATAATGTTCTCTGGATTCAAATAAAAGTCCAGAGAAATTTACAAACTTAAATTCACCTTCAAGATAACAAAAACAAAATTACAGAAGAATTAATGAATCTAGAGAAAATCACAGAGATATTCAATGCTAACTATTAAACACAATCATAGACAAAAATCACACAGAAGATCAGTTATCAAATTATAAGCTTCTCTGTGATTTGTACTGGACTACAAGCTTATAATTTTCTCTGTGTGATTGTGCATTATTGGACTCAAATCAGAATACAGAGAAATTTCTCTGGAATATAAACATACAATTTTCTCTGGAATATGAACATATAATTTTCTCTGGAATATAAAGCAAAATGTAAAAAAATGAAAAGTGCAGAATAAATGAAAAAAACAGAGCACAAAACTTAAGACAGTGAAGAAAAACAGAGCCGGTCTCCAAACACGAAGAACAAAACTTATCATTGATAAACATATAACACAGAATGAAAAATCAACTCCATTGTCAATAACAAAGAATGAAAAATCAACTTCAAAAATCAAAAAATAATTCACTAAGCTGGCTTTTCTATCACTTTGATCAAAACTGAAAATAAAAACCTAATTCAAAATAAACTACAAAAACTTATTTGAAATCGGATTCCATATATACAAATCAAATGAAAAATAAAAAACTTAAACTGATTATTAAACTTTCCTGATTCAGCTCTACTGGAAATTCGAGCTTCAACACGACTTCAACTTCTACACGATCAACGAAACTCAACTACTATATGACTACAAAATTCCTATAAAATTTCCACGAAATCTGCATCATCGAAATCTCCATCGATCGCCAAGTTCATCCCAATGTAATCTTCCATAAAAATAGTAACGTAATCTTCAGATTCCAAAATTGAAAACCACGTATAATATACAAAAGGGTAAAATAGGTATTTTACAAACTAAACTAACATTGAGGGACCTTAGATATCAGAAAATATTATTGTGGATCTCTCCTCATACTAAAAGTTGGATAGGGACCTTAGACAATATTTTCCCTTTTTTTAATTAATTTTTTTTCAAATATTTTTTTTCCAATTATTTTTTTCAATTAAATTGTTTTTCAAATAATTTTTTTTCAATTAATTTTTTTTTTCAAGTATATTTTTTCCCAATTAAATTTTTTTTCAATTATTTTTTAATTAATTTTTCTCATTTTTTTTAAATAATTTTTTTCAATTAATTTTTTTTCCAATTAATTTTTTTTGCAATTAATCTTTTTTTAAATTAATTTTTTTTTCCAATTAATTTTTTTTCCAATTAAATTGTTTTTCAATTATTTTTTTAATTAATCTTTTTCAATTATAATGTGTGTGATCCTATTGTCATAAGTAATAAAAATAAATATAAATATTTTAGGCCTGAAAAAATATATATTTTAGTTTATGTTTTTAAAATTTTTTAAACATTTTGTTCAAATAAAACGCATTTGTAATTTATATTTTTTTAAAAATAAACAAAAACCAATTTATAAAATTTTTGTAAACATAAACAAAAAACGTAAACGTTATCAAACGCACCTAACCATTTTTTTTTCAGTTTTCAGTTTATATTTACAAAAATTTTAAAAATTATCATAAAAACTTGTTTGATAATTTTTTTGGTTTATAAATAATTGTCTCGGTTTATAAATTTGAAGAAAAACGTAAACTCAAAAAATGAGTTTACGTTTTCAGTTTTCAATTTTTTTTTTCAAATAATTTATTTTCAATTATTTTTTTTCCAAATATTTTTTTTTCAAATAATTGTTATTTTCAATTTTTTTTTTCAAATAATTTTTTTTGAAATAATTTTATTTTCAATTAATTTTATTTTCAATTAATTTTTTTCAATTATTTTTTTTTCAAATAATTTTTTTTCAATTAATCTTTTTTTTCAATTAATTGTAATTTATATTTTTTTAAAAATAAATAAAAACCAATTTATAAAATTTTTGTAAACATAAACAAAAAACGTAAACGTTATCAAACGCACCTAACCATTTTTTTTTTTCAGTTTTCAGTTTATATTTACAAAAATTTTAAAAATTGTCATAAAAACTTATTTGATAATTTTTTTGGTTTATAAATGGTTGTCTCAGTTTATAAATTTAAAAGTTTTTTCAATTACTTTTTTTTCAATTAATTTTTTTTGAAATAATTTTTTTTTCAATTAATTTTTTTTCAATTAATCTTTTTTTTTAATTATTTTTTTTTTCCAATTAAATTTTTTTTCAATTATTTTTTTAATTAATTTTTTTTCCAATTTTTTTTTTCTATTAAATTTTTTTCAAATATTTTTTTTTGTAATTAAATTTTCTTTCAATTATATTGTGTGTGATCCTATTGTAATAAATAATAAAAATAAATATAAATATTTTAGGTCTAAACAAATATATTTTTTAATTTATATTTTTAAACATTTTATTCAAACAAAACATGTTTATAATTTATATTTTTTTAAAAATAAACAAAATCACTTTATAAAATTTTTATATACATTATAAAAATAAAAAATAAAAAAAACGCGTACCTTAATATTATCAAATGGTAGGTTTGATAATCTCTCTCCTAGGGTTTCCTTCTCTCCCTCTACCCCCTTCTCTCTCTCTCTCTCTCCTCTCTCTCTCCAAATCGACCCTCTACCCCCTTCTCTTCTCTCTCTCTCTCTCTCTCTCTCCAAATCGAGTCCAGACCCTTTGGGACGTTCGTCGGCGTCTACGACCGTCACGGAGGCCCCGAGGCGGCTCGATATGTATGGGATCACTTGTTCCGCCACTTCCAAGGTTCGTCTTCTGGTTCGATTCTTGTAATTTTTTGATTGAATTTGTATATGTAACTTGTTAAAATTGTGATCTTTGTTCATTTACTCAGCTAAATTGGCAACTGTTTTAATGCTAAAACACTATGGTTTTGTACTTTCTTTGCTAAATTGGCAACTGTTAACGCAGCAGTAAATCATTGGCCAGATGGGATTTTTTACGGCTTTTGGAGGGTCTGGTTTGATTGAACTTTAAATGACGTTAAACAACAATGGTTTGTGATATACATTGAAAGTATATATAGGGTTTAATAATACATGAAAGTTAACCAGTGTGTTCTGTATTTGATACACATGGTCATACACGCACGTACACCCGCAGTAATCTAATTTTATTGCAGATTGTTTGTTTTGGCACCATAGAGTGAAGAGTTGAAGATTGTGTTGATATAATTTGGGTTCAACATCAAAAAAGTAATTGCTTCTTATTTTTTGTGATCTTAGACTCTGTCTCTATACAGCAATAGCAGTGGAAGATGGCGGTGTTGTAACAGCTGACACACTTAGAAGAGCTTTTCTCGAAACAGAACAAGGGTTCACAGCTCATGTTTCGAGGTTATGGAATGCTCGATCCAACTTAGCATCAGTTGGTTCATGCTGTCTTGTTGGAGTAATATATCAGCAGACTCTTTTTGTGGCAAATCTTGGAGATTCCCGTGTTGTATTGGGGAAGAAAGTTGGGAACACAGGAGTTATTGCTGCCATACAATTATCAACAGAACACAATGCCAACATTGAGGCCACCAGGCACGAGCTGAAAGAATTACACCCCAGTGATCCTCAAATTGTTGTCCTCAAGCATGGAGTTTGGAGAGTAAAAGGCAATATACAGGTTCTAATTTCTTTCACCATAAAAGTTTGTTGATTGAACCATGATTTTTATTTCTGTGATGCTGAAATTCTTTCAAGTCTATTCTCTGCTGTCCAAAATACATTTGTTCTCAGTTTCTACTTGGATTCTCATGTGTGATTCTCTAGATTTTAATTTGAAAGTCTTGAGGACCAGTGTATGTATCAAGGTTTTTTGACTTTGGATCTCAGTGTTGTTTGAGAACATGCTTGATCTAGGGGTGTAAATCCGGCCCTGCCCGGCCCACCCGGGCTTGGGCCGGGCCCAAGTCAGGTCTCGCGGGCTTCCGCCAAAATCCGGGCCAAGTCACGGGCCAAAAAAGTTAAGCCCAGACCCAAGGGTATTCGGGCCTTGGGCGGGCTAGTGGGCCTACCCAGTGGGCTTGGGCAGGCCTAACCATTTTTAATTTTTTTAAAATTTTTTTTCTATCAAAATTTTAGTCTTTTTTATTAAAAAATACACTGAGCCTTGGGTGGGCTGGGTAGGCTGGGCTTCGAGCTAGGCCCTAAGTGGGCCTTAAGCAGGCCGATGGGCTGGGCCACGGGCCGGGCTTCAAAACAATGGCCCAGGCCCTAGCTCAGGGGCTCGAGCCGAGCTCAGGCCTGGGCCCAAGCGGGCCTAAACGGACTGGGCCCATCTCAGGCCGCAGGCGGATTTCAGACCGCCCACGGACCGCAGGCCATTTTTACACCCCTATCTTGATCTTATAATGATGAATTTAAGATGTCATATCTAACCTCAAAAGTAGCTTTAAATAATTAGGCTTGTGTAATTGTCAATGGGTTTGTATAATGTGTGCTTTAGAATCATCATAAAAAAAAAATTATCAAAAAGAAAAAGAAAAAGAATCATCATAAAAAAAGGTGCTTTTGATTCAACCTTACACGCTGCCAAAGTAATCTGAAAGATATGAGCAACAAACTTGGCATGGAAAAATTAAATATGTCATGTCTGAGATGCTCCCTGGTTTGTGGTCCAAATTCAAAAGAAATTACTTTTTCATCAACAAACTGACGTAATGAGGAAGACCTAAACCAATAAGGAATGACTGTAGTGCCCTGTGTGCAGCCTGTCGAGCTCGGAAGCATTTTAAACAAGTAAAAATGGACAGAATAATCTGCTATTGTGCAACATAATTTTCTCTCCGTGTCACTAAAGATGGTGTTTTCATATGGAAATGAAGACATACGGTTTTGCAGCCAACCATTTAGGTGAGAGCTCCCAAGTAGGTATTGTATGTGTAGTTATGATGAAATAACCATGGCTCCAATCCATCTATTACCTTGTTGTAAAAGAGTAGTGGAAGTTGGTCCTTTTCAAGGTTACTAGTAAAAAATTGAACTTGGTGGTTGCATTCTTTGATGGATGGAAATTACAGATGTTGAATGTTGCCACGAGCACATTGCCAAATGGCTTGATATGGTGTAACTAAAGGATTGTAGTAGAAAAACTATACAATGCCAACCAATGTATGTTTAGATTGGAGATTTTTTTTTTAGATATCATTATTCCAGTGGGCTAGAAGTTTGGACATGTTTAGAGTTTTTTTTTTTTTTTTTCCCCTCTCATCTTGGTCAATGTAAAGCCCTTAACCTATATGAATTTCATGTATGTCATGTTTTTGACTTCTTTCTTGTTATCAACTTTTAACTTTACAAAAACATGCACCAAACATATCCGATATGTTTGATATTTCTTACTAGTCTATCATTTTTACCTCGTTATTCCTTTGTCGATGATTATCTTTGTCTAGGGCTATATTAGAATGAAAAATTCTTTAATGTGCTACACAAATTGTATGTAACATTTTTACAAGTTTACGCGAATTTATGTTTAATTTACGTAATTTTGTAAAATCATTTGCGTAGATTCATAAAAACTTACAAGATTGCATATTAGAACATTTCCCGTCTAGAACCGTAGGGTTTAGCTATACAATTGCTTATTAAGCATCGCAATATCTTTTGACAAAATAGAAGATTATGCTTCACTTTTTTAAATTTGGAGAAATAAGCCTACTTATGAACCACATAAAGATCAAAGTAATCTAACTAGCTTTTGCATCAAGAGCAAATTTGTGGTTTAAGGCATATTTTTTTGTTTGCTTACTCTAGAATTTGAGAGAGAGAGAGAGAGAGAGAGAGAGGAAAATTTGCATCATCAAATCTAAGGTATACATGATGGCCAAAAAATATTATTGATGCGTTTAGTGGTTTGTTTACTATCAATTTCTAAAATTGTTTTCTCACAGAAATGGAATATAAAAACTTAAAATAACACTAAACATGACAGAAAAATTAATAAGAGTCACTTAAGAATCATACTTTCATGTTCTACAGTGAAATTAGTGAAATTTAACATCAAAAGCGTCACAACACTTCTAACATTAATAAAATCTCCAATTATTTTCCCTAGTTAAAGGAAAATATACCATCTGCCTTGCTCTCTATTTTCTTTACCTCTGAACTCCTCTGTATTTACCGACAACACTGCTCTGTAAGTTCCTTTTGTTTTTCTCTTGCCAAGAAAGGCAATTGAACCATTTCCGAGATATGGGAAAAGATCAAAAGATATCTATTAAAGAGGAAAAAGATGTAATTTTTCCAAAGTACAATGACAATAACATATCACCAAATTGAGCGAGAACACTTCAAATATTTGAAAATAGGTCCACAATTGTAAGCTTCCAAGTCGGTCCATCAACTTGAAAGTCATTAAAAAAAAGAAAAGAAGAGAGGCTAGTCTTGCAGACCCAAAACATATCAAGCTGTAGAAATGTGAGCAGCATCCTTAATAGATTTGCGCCATGCATACTCCCTAGCTCCATCCTGGTCAACAATTTTGATGACGAAATTTGGCGAGGCCACAACCAGCCTAGACCGAATCTCCATTATGCACTTGTCGACTCGATCAACAGCTTCTTCCAATGTCATGTTGCTGGGGTAATGTCTGTCCATCATAAAAAGTGAAAAATAGGACCCATAACCAAATGCTGCCTTGTCAACCTTGTGAAGGGATGCAATATAATCGATGTAGTATAGGGAAGGGCCTATCTCCTTGTCGTAGCCAGCCAAGGTGAATAACATAGATAATAGAGTTTGACAAAATTTTGGGAAACATAGTCCCATGAGCATCACATGAGCATTATCAACTAGATGATTTACAATATAGATAGATAGGTGCATAAAAGGTGTAATCCTTCCTCCCTTTTGCTTCCTTTATTCGCCAATGCATCAGCGTTGGCGTTTGCTTCCCTATATATGTGCTTGACTTCCTCCACGCGGAGCTGGTCCAACAAGTACCTACAGTCACAAATTAAGTTGCTGAGATGATGGAAATCATTAACTTATTTTGCAAGGAGTTGGCAAACGAGCAAAGCATTTGTTTCGACATCTAAATTGTGGATGTTTCAGTCAAGAGCTAGTTGTAACCCATTGCCGAGGGCCCAAAGTTCCGCAACTATGCTGGTTGTGAACCCAACCTTATGGCAGAACCCTACAACCCAATTATCTTTATTAGTGGTAGGGCTTGATTTTCTAATGTGAACAAGATTTCACAATTATGTCGCGTTTCTTGCAATCCTCTTTCAATCATGTCTCACACAAAAATGAGTTGATTTTCTAATGTGAACAAGATCTCACAATCATGTCATGTTTCTTGCAATCCTCTTTCAATCTTGTCTCCCGCAAAAATGAGTTTTGAATCAATACAAAATATGAGTTATGAATTTATAATGGATAGTGTCACCTTGAGTTAATAATGCACTAATATTAATAACTTCTAATAAGCTTTTTTTTTCTTAAATCAATATGAAATGTGATTGCATAGAGAGTATCAACATCAAAGATATGGATATACCACAAGTGAAATATGAATGATTAATGATTCAAATATATTAGGGGTGAGTAGCGGATATACTGATCTGTCCAAACTGACCGAACCGAATTGAATTGATCTGTCGCATTTTGGACAGATGTATGATGACGAGCGGACGGTTGCGGATTAATTTTTTCTAATCCGCCTAGTTTTAGACGGATGGCGGATTTAAGGTTCTTTGGCGACAACTGTACTGCCAAACTGCGAGCATCCTTAGTAATTTGTAAGACTTTGTGTTTTCAATTTGTTTAGATATTCTGTTTGTATTTTCAATTGAAAAAGAGTTTAAATATTCTATTGAATATATTCTGTTGAGAAAGAGTTTTCAACTTGAATATATTTTTTGAATTGAAAAAAATAAATGTATTATTTATCTATATTTTTTGGTTTTTAAATTTTACTCTAAAAATAATAAATAAAAAAGATGATATATACTGGTTGGTTTTTGTTTTTAAAAACAGATATAAATATAACAATACAGAGGCATACAATCTCTACTATCGTTTTGTTCATGGTTTTGGTGGTTTGAATTATTTTTATATTTTAAGAACCACAGATTGTAATACTTTATGTGAATGAGGCATACTATGACTGTAATATGTGAATAAGACATACAATGATTGTAATATTTTTTTAAGTCATTGACTGTAATATCTTTTTTTTTTTTTTTTTTTTTTAAGGAAGGTGCACAAGTTGAATTATGTTGGAAATTTATAAAATTTTAAACCGCCAAACCAATTCGCATCCATCTGCTAATCTTCTAATCTGCTTAATCCACATCTATTGGATTGGCGGACAGATACGAATTGATTTTCTCTAATCCGCCAATTTGGCGGATGGATGACAAATTAAAAGTTTCGTGACTGCAATCGATTCGTGCCCACTCGTAAAATATATTTATCAAACTTTAAAATTTAAATTATATTTTTTGGCGCACAACTTCAACAACTAACATGTTATTTGGAAGGCCTCGTTTGGGTATGTTTGGTTTGCATTTAGGAGATGAGTTTTAGAAAAAAAAAATTTAAAAATTGTTTGGTTTGAGTTTTTTTCAAAAAATTTTCAAAATCACTTTCTCTCTCTTACACATCAATCAATCATTTTTTCTCTCTCTTCTCTCATTTTCAATCACTTTTTTTCTCTCACACATCTACTCAAATTCTCCCAAAATATCAAATCATCCCAAACTTTCAAAAAAACAACTCTCTCAAAGTATACAACTAAACAAACTAAAAAAATTTCTAAACTCTCTCTCTAAATTTTTTTTCAAAAACAACTCTCTCCAAAACAAACTAAACAAGCCCACGTTTGTGTTGATTTTTTAGCTTTTTATGAAAAGATGTGTAAAAAGTAGAGAGAAAAATGAATATTTGATTTTTTTGTATAAGTTATAGATTTTTTTATTTTTTTAATAATTTTTTGACTTTTAAACTAAAACAATTACTTGTCAAATGAGGCCTAAATATCTTCAAAATAACTTGTGTCATGAAAATGGATATACAATGATGATGAGTCTTGGGTAAAAAAAGAAATTCCCCCTTAGACCATCTCCAACGGTGAACCAAAACTGATATCAGATTTAAATTTTGATGAAAAATGTACTTTTCCATGCTCCAACCGTTGCATCAAATGAATATCAAAATGAGAAATCAGCAAAAAAAGTATCAAACTGAGAACAAGTTCTGGATTTTACCAAATCACTGTTACTGACCGTTGAAAGAGATACATCGGTTGCCCGGCCGGTTGACCAACCGGTCAACCGGTTCCCTTTGAAATAGCTAGGTTCAAACCAGTCAAAAAAGGTTCAAACAGGTAAAAAAAAAAAAAAAAAAAAAATTTGCCCAAACCGGTCGACCGGTTGGTCAACCGGCCGGTCGACCACCCGGTCGACCACCTCCCCAAATCTGCTTTGATGCTCACCGTTGGAGCGCCTCGTATCAAATTGAAAAAATCGTCATTTTTTTCGACAGATTTGATGAAAAAAGAAGTGTAGCGTTGGAGATGCTCTTACACTTCATATCAAACTAACACCCAACTTGAGGTTGTGTTGGGTGAGTTTGTTAGTTTCTTATTTCTTGTGTGTTTTTTTACTTACACAATATAATTTTTTTTTTTTTGGGTAGATTATAAATACATTTCATAAAATTTGCTTAAAATACGAATTGCCTCATGTGATTTGAAAAATTACAAATGTCTCTTTGTCAAAAATTTTTATTTAATAGAATTAATTAAAAAAGTAAAATTTCTAACTGTTCTTCTATACAATAATAAAATTATTTGAATTATTTATTGAAATAAATTTTAACATTATTAAAAACTGTTAATTAACTTGATAATTTATTAATAAAAAGACCTATTTGTTATGAAATTAAAAACTTTAAAATAACTTGTGTCATTAAAAATATGGACTAAAATAGGGTATCCCAAACAAGGTCATAATGTAATTTTTAGAATTACAAAAAAATAATCTGTAATTTAAATAAATTTCAAGAGTTATAATTGTAATTTATTTTTTTATTTTTTTATCAAAAAAGTATTTGAAAAAAAAAAATATGTAACGTTTTTCATAACTTTTATATCTCAAATCAAACTAGTCAGTCACTCCTTTTGTAGCTTGTCCATCAGTCTCTCTCACACCCATCTAACCTACACATGGGATAGTTGCAGAAATAACACAAATTTGAACTTCCCAAAATCAACCTGTGTTAAAAATAAATAAATGAAGAGTGTTCTAATTTAAAAGCTTTTTTTAAAAAAATTAAATGATGTGGTGGTCTATTAAAATATTTAATATAATTATTTTTTTATATATATTCTTAATTATTTCTTTTATATATTACTAAATTTAAAATTATAATCTAAAAAATTATTTTATATGTCATTTTTCAACAATAATATAAAACGTGCATTGTCTTTTAGTATTCCAATGCCGACAAGACAACCCCCTTCCTCTTCTCCAAAATATCTATGTCCCAAACCTTGGAAAGTCCCTTCCCTTGACATGTATCAACGGATAAGTTCCGTTTGGGAAAATAGGTTGTGGACTTTTTTAGTTATTTTAATTATAAAAGGTAAAATAGGTTATTTTAGTCATAACAAACCAAACATCACATTCAATCTATAATCATTACACTCTTCTCTCACAAAAAAAGTTTAAAAAGTTAAAAAGTCAAAAAATTCTTCCCAAATCAAGTTTTTTAGCTCAAACTAAAATAGTCAAAAAAGTTAAAAAAATTAAAAAGTCAACCCACTTTCCAAACTAACCCTAAGATTCATTGGACATCCATTCTTAGATCTTGCGATCATACTTACAGTAATGACGCAAATCAATACAATCATCAAAGACACCAAGTCCTATAATGTGACATGTAGGGATGTAAAAAAATTTGAAAAAATCAATTAAATCGATTGAAACGAATCAAATCGATTATACTTTGTCAATTTTTAATATAAATTGGTTTATGCAATTTTTAAAATTAATTTTTTTTAATTTTTGATTTGATATCAGTTTAAACACTTTATGCATCGAATTAAATTAAAACCGACCAAAAGTTTCACATATTATTCAATTTATTGTTTATTTTTTCTTAAATATTTTAGGTTTAACAATAAATATTGACAATGTGACATTGTTAATTTGTCACTCATATATGCTTGAGTAAAGTTTTGCTGCTACCATACCTATAGAGCTGTATCGGATGTTTATGTCGTTTTTAATTTTTTGTTTTAACTCTACTTGAAGGACTTGTGATTTAGTCTTATGGAATGATGGTTTTAAACATTAGTTTTGTTTTGGTGTCAAGATTTTAATTTTCAAACTATATTTTGTTTTTAATTCTATTTCAGTAGAAACTTAAACACTTAATATTTATTAATTATTTAGTTTGTGTTTTTGTGAATGGTTGGATTGAATATTTAAATAATGTACAAATGGCTAATTTAATAGTTTTATATAAATTATTTACTATTTTACAAATTTAAGAAGTAACTCAAATTTAAAATGTCGTAAAATGAAAAGCGCACTGATCCTTCGTTTGACATAAGTTAAAATGGGATTTTTTTGGCTAAAATAATCACAAAAAGACAAAATAAGTTTTTTAGTCCAATAAGACAAAATGTCACATTCAAACCATAATCATTTCATTTTTTTTCTCACAAAAGTCAAAAAAATTTAAAAAATTCATCACAAACGAGACTTTAACCTCAGGAT